TCGCGTGTGGACGCCTGGCATTTAAAGCCCAGCCCAGGTGGCCTTCGCTGTTGAGAAATTCACGAAAAGCCGTCGAGTAATAAAGAACTCTGGTCAACTATAATAAACACCACGATGCTTGTTTTGCAAATACGAATAGAGGAGATGGAGGAGAGCATGATCTAAGAGTTCCCACTCGTGCAACGGTTATACCACGCTCTCCTTTTTAAAAGACTTGAAGAAGCCCTTGCAAGGTATTTACTAGTATGTCATTCAGGCAGTACCGGACGAGATTTTTGGTGCAACAACAAATTACCACTCACCGGGACACAACACCGTATTGATATCTTTACTACTTCGAAGTACATACCAGTTACAGTGGCATACTGACAAAACTTCAAGACAGCACGCTTCTCTATTGGACTTAATTGTTGTGAGGTTGAGCTATTTTGAGGGATACTTTATTTTGCTTCAGCACAGTGAAGTTATCGCGATTTTCCTAAAAAGTAAACCAACGGAATCGAATTGTTCGTCAGCGGGAAACAGATGCGGAGTTGGGGAGCCGACATTTACGATTAGATTGCAGGCGGGCACAGCACATTTGCAGACGTCGATCCAATCAGCGCCACGCACCGTTTCGCGCTGTTCTAGTCGAGGCTGTGTCCACTCCATGTGCCCCATCACATCGTTCAGCTAAAAGAACCTTTCCTTCATTCTCCATTTTGCAGCGTCAAGCTCACACCACTCGGCACGCAGCGGTATGGCGTGGCTGAAGGTGCTTTTCGCCAGTTTGGCCCTGATTGCCAACGCACCTGGTTCAACTAGTGTGATTGTCACTAAGAATGGTACACCTCGACCAATCATGGCCACACCTACAGTAGTGCGATCAGGTTCCGGGTCCGCGTCATTTGCTTCAGGCTCTGGGTCTATTGAAGACATCATCGCAGTGCTGTCAGCTTCAGCCTCAGGCTCCTCATCCGGTTCGGGCTCCATATCATTCGCTGCTGTCTTCGACGCGTTTTCGACTTCAGGATCAGGATCAAAAAGCTCATCAAAGTCGCTGGGGTCAACGTCCGTGGCTTCGGTTGAGGATTCTAAAGTGACGGTGACGTCCAGCTCGTCGACCAACTACTCGGCATTAATCACTTACGGGTCAGGTGCCTCATATAAGCTCGCTACGCCCCTCACGGCCAAGAGTTCCGTCGTACAAACCTACCGCAATTGGGTGGGCCCTCCAGCACTGCAAGGTGACGCTGCTTGCTGGCGAGAAGCGCATATTATGGACAAATGTCCGTCCAACTACGACCGGCATGAAGCCACCAATACCTGCTGGGCTGAGTGTCCTATCGAGTTTCCAGTGAGATGCGGCATTGAGTGTGTTCGTCAGAATGACGACTGTGGCCGTGAGATTTTCTACAAAGTCTCCTCACTTGTCAACGTCGGTCTCAATGGTATCATGGACAACTGGTTCGGCAAGTTTTCCCTTATGGCCAAGAAGGTTCGAACCACTGTGTATTGCTCCTGTATGATCCTCAGTTTGATCCGAGCCATGCTTCGATACATTCGCAGTGTCAAGAGTGCAGACCCTCAAGCTTCCCAGGACAAGATCCTAACTGCGTTGTATCAATCAAACGCTGTGGTCGTGGAACTCCCTATTACCATTAAGTACTGCATGGGCGATAAGCCAACCAAAAGCTGGTGGCTGGCAGACCGAGTCATCGCCTCAACGCAGTATATTCTATCGCAGGTTCTGGCCAACGACGATAAGCTGATCACGAGCTGGGATCGATTCAAAGCCTTCCTCAAAGGAGCAAACTTCACGGCCCCACCGGAGCAAATCACTAAAGGTGAGATCGGATACCTCACAGACGCCCTGAAGTCCAAATCGACCTGTGGCCACGACTTACAGGCCCTGGTGGATCGAACGTGGGCTACAATTGAAGAGCTTCGCGAACAGAATCCGGGAATTACAGAGGACCAACTCCGAATTGCAGTTCAGGACACTGAACTTGTGAAGACGGATATTGCTATGGTCACAAGTAACTGCATGGAGTTGCTGGTTGAGCAGTCCAACGAGGTTACTGCCTATACTACTCGAGACAAGATTCGCAAGACATTTGGCGTGATCATCAATGACCTCATTACTAAGGGCAAGAGCAACAACGGCACTTCCTACAAAGCCAATGAGTACACGTACAATGCGCTGAACCAAGGTCTTAACTTCTGGGTTGTCACGGGGTTCGATATGACTGGTATCTCCAGTATGATCTCCGACTATTTCATGGCTATCTGTGGTCCAACACAGTTCATTGGCGAGGTGGACGACGGAACGCATCCGCATACACTTGGATTGAAAACCGTCCAGAAGGCCTTCCAGAACAGCACCATGTCATGGACTAAAAAGGGGGACGGAGAGGTTATCATCAACTTTACCAGTTATGATACAAAGAATGTGACGGTGAACATCATGTCTGGAGGAGACAAGGTCGACGAAGTGGATGTTGCTGCAGGCGGGAAAGCTACATGGAAGTCGACTGTGAAGGAGCTGGGAGGAAAGACACTGTATTTGGATCGATGGCGTCCAGGCTTTCTGGGACTCCCTGGTACGGGAGGTGGTTCTTTGATGTTGTGGGTACCTCACGCAGCGGAAGGTGGTCATTTGGATCTGAATGTGCGGTTGAATGTGAGTTAAAGGCGAGAGTAGGCTCTTGCATGATAGAGATAGTACTAGTTGTTAGAGTGAGTGGAAATTTTTTAAGGTGCGGCATGATGCTGCTAAATAGACGCAAATGAATAACTTGCCAGCAAGAGAACTCACTTGTTTTGTTTTACCGTACTTCCGTATTATGATTACATTTAAAAAGAACGTTAACATGTGAAGTTGTTAAATGCAGATGGAACAAAAGGTCGAGTAATATGATAACTGTGTTACCGTAATTACCAGTACGTCATCCTTGATCGAACGTGTGATTGCCATGGAGAATGCGATGTTAATTTCCATAAAATAGTTGATCAGCATGCATTCGCTATTCTTCAGCAGATTGATGATTTGATTGTCCAAATCGTCATCATGGCGCCAATGATAGATGATCGGACGAGATACACTCCGTCCCTGCTGAATTTCAGCGTGCCATCGCTACAATTCGTTACAACCTCGCTTGACCCACCATATTATTTTTTTTCCACTATCGTCAAATGTACGTGTAGCCTTGAACTCAACCAATGACGCAGAGATGGTCCCTGCTGCCTCAAGTTTGACCAGCTTCTCCTGTTGCTCACGTAGTTTGGATTAGCTTCTTCAATTCTTCCTCTTGGCCACGCAGTTTTGACGCTAAAATGTCAATACGCTCGACCGAAACCGGATCGAGGAGGAATCCGAATTTCGTTTCCCACCACGAGTGCAAAACACGAAGTTTCAGGGTAACCTTTAAATCAAGAACTCCGTTTCCCTTTCTGATAGTTCTCGCGGAGAGTCACTGTAATTGTCTTGAGGACACGATAGCGCTTTTTGGGAATACTTTTGAGAATGTAAAGACAGCATATTAGCAGAACCAGAGTAGAACATCAGTAAGCACAGCACTGCTGAACCTTGAGGTAATCCTCAGCTGATACCCTAGTGACTGTGTTGTCAGCCGTCACATAGTCTTCGTGTTCAGATAGCCCTTGGCCTGCGAGCAAAGAATACAAATTAATAGCGATGGCAAATTAACCCCCTTGCATGCCCATACCATTGTTTTTTTTTTTTTTTTTACTCTTGCGATGTTCCAACCAGATACTCAGTTTGTTATCCTTAAGCGCACTGGAGTAGCGGTAAAGCTGAGCAGAAGTGGACAAGAATGAAGTACACCTTCAAACTTGATATCTCTTACGTCGCGAACATCTGTAGAACCGTGAACAAGTTCAAACTGCCGTAAATTCAACAATGCCGACAAGTGATTTTTTTGTTTTGTTTTTGCACCAATCATCATCAGATCTACTGCCATTTTCTCGATAATTACGCAGTGATAGATTGCAACAAATATTACGAGAAGGTTCCATCAATTAGAGTGTTATTTTTAGAGTAATGCACTTCAAAACTATGATGATCTGAGGTCTCTTTGAGCATAGAGCGCACCAAGGCGATCATATTGACACATAAAAAATAAGGCGGCAATGGAGACAAGTATACAATGGATTCTCTAAATTTGAAGGCTAACAGGACAAAGCCGTATAACACGATAAACAAACGAAGTTCTGCTGTAACCCAAGTACATATATCATGTACTCACAAAGCCTATAGTATGCTTAGGTGTAGTTATTCAATCACAGTCTCCAGCGTTTTCAACTTCAAGAACGAATCTCCTGCGCCTGCTTCGCTGCTGCCATTGTTGCCGACTTGGAATGAGAGACATCGATAGGTTCAAGTTAAAAACATGTTCGTTGTCGACGGCAAAGAATCTATCATTTCAATGCTTGTTAATAACTTATCTAACTTTGAAGCCTCGTTAGTATATTAGATTGGGGTTGTTTCTAACGATCACATACTTATATTTTTCACGGTGGTCGTAGGCGGTCTGTAAATGGGCGGATGCTTTCCCTCATAAATCTATCCAATTGTTAAACGCTGCATCGAGAAACTTTACAGCTGAGCATAATGTAGTATACTTAACTGTATGCTCATCGAATTGCTATAGGTATAGCAAATCCAGTCAATTAAGTTTATCCGCTATGTAGATCAGCCAGAAATGGTCCAGACACCAAAATTGGCCGAGCGCCGCTGCTACGCGGCGATAATTTATGGTAGATCGCAATCGTTAAGATCTTTCCCACCTTTGCTTCGCTTCAGCGGGATTATAACCTTTTTAAACGACCATTCGTTTATCGATTAATCTTAAATGTTCCCTTTAACCTGTAACAATTCGTTTTAGCCCACCGCAGACTAACCGTATAGTTCTTAGTGCTGTCCTGCCGGTGGTCGCCAGGGCTGTGGAAAAAATAATTGTGATTGTGATATTGACAATATTGTCAATCACAATAATTGATTGTATCGAGATCACAATGTACAATCACAATCTCAATATTGATCCAATTGCGCGCGTTACCGGAGCCAATAGAACCTGCTAATATATCGTTCCACCAACCAGACAGCTCAAACCGAGCCCACAGGAAGTCCCGCAGCTTTCACTGTCGCCAATGACGAAATTGGCGCCATACAGAGATGTAAGGCAGGTCCGCATCAGCCACGTCATTTTCAAATTTTGCCCCAGCACCGCCGATTAGTCACAAGCAGTCCACACGACATGAAGAACGCGGAGATCGTCCGCCTTCTCTACAACAACCCCACTAAAACGGAGCGCACATGCACCATTTGCAACGAAGTGGTTAAGCAGAAAAAGAATGCAGGCTACACGAATCTGATAAATCATTTAGAAGGGCACCATGCTCGGTTTCAAGCAGTCGCTGAAGAGTGTATGAAGCGAAACTGTCAGCTGATTAGCAGCATGTTTGTTCATAAAGATGCTGCTGATACGTACGGATGGGCGAAGTTGGTCGCGCTAAAAAAATTCTATTCGCGCATGTGGATGACCTTGTCATCCGCGCCGCCGTTCGCTACAAAGCAATGGATCGGGCAACATTTTTGAAACGGATGACGGCTCCAGAGGGAGTGATTGACATCAAGATTAGCAAGGATATCGCTGGTGAAAGTTTGTCCTGGGTTTTGACGGATTGACCGACTCAGCAGAGCACGCGATTGCAATTTTTGCTGCGACCTAGAAAGGATTACGATTTTTGGCTTTTTCACCTTTTCACGATGAAAGTTCAATGACGGCTGCAGAACATATCAATCTTTTGGACATGGTAATTGCTCAATAGGGTCTCCTAATATCTGACATGGTGGCAGTCGTAGCTGACAACATGGAGACCAACAAAGCCATCGCACGGAGAGTCGATGTCCCTCTTGTAGGGTGCGCTGCGCATCGTTTCAATCTCGCTGTACGAGAGCGTCTGCAGCCGCACATGAAACTCATTTAAAAAAAGTGAGTGCACTCATGAGGAAACTTAAAACTGTGAAGCGGATCACCAAACTGAAAAAAAAAAACGACTGTGATGTCAAGCCCGTACTACTCCACGAGCTCCGCTGGAGCGGTTGTTACAAAATGCTACAGCGATTTGAGGACTTTCGCCCTTATTTACATCGTTTCCGAGACGATTGCGGGTTGGATCGAGATGTTCCGGAAGATGCTAGCCTAGAGGATATTCGCCGAGTTGCGATAGTGAATCTAATTCCGTCTGTGAGCGAGTAGCGAAAAATCGCTGCTTTACTGGACGAGATGACTGCATTTGCTGTCATTTCTGGAAAACTTTAGCGCAACGACATTACAGTCGCAGCTGTCCGTGACATTTTTCGATATTGTGCTGGATGATTATGATGGCATGGAGAAATATCTGGCGGCCGACGCAAATATTATCGAATTTCCACGTTTTGAAAGTGGTCTAACTAAACTTCAAGCTGGGTTTGATAAAACTTTGCAGCGAAATAAAAAAAGGCGTTAAGTCGTCTCCTAGTCACCTCGCAAGCTGACTCTCAAACAACACCTTCCACCGCGACCATAATGCTGTCAAAGCGTAAACGTGCTGCCGATGTGC